GCTCTTAGGAGTCTCTTATCCAGTAATAGCTTTAACCTTTGCTGGATCCATCCTAATACAATCAGCAGAAATAATATACTCCAAAAAGTTCACAGAGTTGGTGAGAAAATGACATTTCTTCAGATTGGCATACAATTTTTGTTCCCTTAAGGCCTCAAACACTTTCCTCATATGTAGAAAGTGATGCTCGACAGAGGAGTTATATATCAAGATATCATCGAAATAAACTACAACAAAAGAACCAATGAAAGTTTGAAAAACCTAGTTCATCAACTGCATGAATGTACTTGGCACATTGGATAAGTCAAATGGCATAACCATCCACTCACATAACCTATCCCTTGTCTTGAAGGCGGTCTTCCACTCATCACCAGGTCGCATTCTGATTTGATGATAACTGCTTCGCAAGTCTATCTTTAAGAAGACTACCATGAAGTGGATCAATTAAGTAATCAAAGCGAGGAATGGAAAAATGAAACTTGATGGTGATCCGATTGACAGCCCTACATCGACGCACATCCTCCAGGATCTGTCTTTCTTAGAGACTAACAAGGCAGGTATTGCACAGGGACTCATGCTCTCCCTCACTACACCTTTTTTCAGCAACTCCTGCACCTCTTTGTGTAACTCCTCATGCTCCTTAGGGCTCATCCTATATGCTGCTCTGTTGGGAATAATAGCTCCTGGCACAAAATCAATGCAGTGTTGGATGTCTCTCATAAGTGGCAATCCCAGTGGCATCTCCTCAGGGACCACATCAACAAAGTCTTCCAACAATGGCTTAACCTGCAAGGGAATGTCAGAAACATCAAAATTCTCTTCCATCACCACACAAGCAAATATCTCAATGGCATTGGCAACTTCTTCTTGGAAATCTGCTCTGGATAGCATAGTATTATTTGCCTCATTCCTCAAATCAGAAGGCCCCAAAGTAATAGTCAACACATCCTTCTTGAAAGTGTAAGTGATTTTGAAGCCATCATGTCGCGTCTTCCTATCAAATTGTCAAGGCCTCCCTAACAGATATGACATGCATCCATCGAAATGACATCACACCACACCTTATCAATATATTTCTTGCCTATAGAAAACTGTACGAAGCACTTCTTGTTCACCTCCACCTCACTTCCTTCCTTCAGTCAAGAAAGGTTGTAGGGTTGTCGGTGTTCCTCGGTTTTTAGCCCTAACTTCTTGACCATGGTATTAGAGACAACATTCTCGCAACTCCCCCCATCAATGATCATACTACACACCTTGCCACCACTGGTGCACTTGGTGTGGAATATATTGTGTTGGAGCCACAACTCATCATCAGCTACTTCTACACTCAGAATCCTCCGAATAACCAAGGATTCTCCAACATCACCATAGATAATCTCAGTCCGCAGTCCTCTTAGGTAATGAGCAAACAATTCTTCATCCTCCTCTGCGATATCACAGCTCATCCGCAGACGATCAAACTCAGCTGTATATTGTTCAACTGATAGGTCTCGCTGCTTGAGATTATGGTACTCAATAAATGCCTCCTGCAGGTAGCGAATAGGTAAGAATTTTAGTTGTAACAGTTTCTTCATCTTATCCCAACTCTTAATCTTCGACTTCCCTTCTTTCTTTCGCTGCTTCTTAATATGTTTCCACCAAATTAAGGCATGCTTCCTTAGTTTAATAGCGACCAGTTTGATCTTCTGGTCTTCTGTCAAGTCTCTGATGTCAAAGACCCTTTCGACAGCGTGCAACATGGTTGTCAAACTCGAGATTCTATGCAAACTCGGAAGGGTGAACAAAAATCGTAAATCGCAGAATCGTAACACGGATCGTAGACTCGTAACACAAGATACAAATTATATTTATATATATTTATATGCACATAAAGTAATATAATAAGCAAATAATAATTTTATTGGTCCAGCAAATAAAATACAACATTTAAATTCACAACAAATAATAAAAAATTAACCACAATTTAATTGGTCCAGCAAGCAAAAATCAAGAGAACAAAAAAAACTTACCACAATTCAAGTGAAATTAATTTATACTAATTTTATTTGGATTAATTTTATTTTTTCCTGTGAATGTAAAATCAAACAGAGGCAAACATGAAAAAAATAAAAATAATTTGATTTATCAAATAAATCTGATTTGGTTTACGATTTACCATTGGACAAAGACCCAGAGCCAAGCAAAATTAATTTGCTTTATAAAATAAAATGATTTTTCTTTATAAAATTAAATAAAATGATTTATAAAAGAAACGAAATAGAGTAGTCAGTAAAGCACTAACAGAGGCGAGAAGAGATTGAGACAAAAAAAAAAGAGAAGAGATTGAGACAGAGCAGAGCACTAACGGGTGAGGGCGAAGCAGCAGCACGACGGCGTTGGCACGTGAAGCTGCGAACGGAAGAGGGCAGGACAACGAAGCAGTAGCACACAAGGGAGGGACGACCGGAGAAGACGGTGGCTTGAAGCGTCTTCGTGAGTCGCGACGTCGTCTCCCATGACCTGCAATGGTGGTGGCTGAAACAAACCAGGTGCTTTATGGTTTTTTTTTCTGCTAAAGAAACCCATTTATGTACTGGTTTTTCGGGTCAAAAATTCGGCTCAAATGGGCCAACTTTTTCTGGTTAAATCGTTGAACTCGTACAATTGTACGAGTTTGCCAAAAAATTCGACGCTTTTACAAAATAAGAGCCAAAAGCGAGTAAATGCAGAAACGGGATCGTAGAGGTGTTGCTGAATCGTAAGCTCGTATGATTTTACGAGTAAACTCGCGAGTTTGACAACCATGGCGTGCAACCAGTTGATGAACTCATCTGGATGAGTTGTGCCCTCGAATTCCAGGATTTCAATCTTCACTCCAATATTAGATAAAAAAGATTGATTTCCAGGTTGACTTCTTCCTCGTCGCTCCTGGTTCCAGTTCCAGAATGGGTTTTCGCTCCTTTCCTCCTCATGAGATGATCTTTTAGATTCCCTTCCTTCATCTGACACGTCCAATTATGTTTGGGCAAGCAGTTGTTCGAGTTCCTGAATTCGTCTACCTTGTTCTGCCATTGTAGCGGCCATTACTACAACTGTGGCGTCTAGCGTGTCGATGTGTGGTTGTTCGCTGTCACCGTTAAGGGTGTTACCACGCCCTCTACCGCCGTCGCCTAGACCCCCTCGTCCACGGCCTCGACCGCTATTGTTCTGTTCAACCATTTATGAGACAACCAGAGCTCTGATACCAAATGATGCCGAAAGCGCATCGAAAATGTGGCTAAACAGAAAGTTAGGATTTTCACAAAAAAATAACTCTCAGGTTCTCAATTTCGATTAACAAAATAACAAAATTCAACTCCTAGAATAAAGGTCATAAGAACCCTTTTATAAACTAATTACAAATTGATCCAATATTCAAAATTCAAAAAACTAAAATCTTAAAAATAAGGAAAATTCCTAATATAAATATAATGGTAACTAACTTTCAAAAATAAATAAATAATTACAATTAAATTATTCAAAACACATCCCAAAATCTTAGATCTCAAATCATGCCAAATGTGTTGCTTTTCTTTTCTTGCCAAACAAATCACAATCATATCTTCTGTTTTATTGTGACTTGGATTTGATCGTAATTTGTTATATTTCATATCACTGCTTCTTTCAACAATTGGGTTATACTTATTAGGCTACAACTCTGGTTAACTCTGAGCTTCTGAAATCAATGGTTAAGCCATATGCAATGGGCTAACTGTAAGTGCATCATTATCCCATACTAGGAAAAGATTTGTCCTTGAATCTTCTTCATCTTCATTGATATCTCAATCTCTTTAGTAGAAACTCAGTGGAGAATTCTTTCTCTATTAGATCTTCAACATCAGATTCTTCATCAGATCATAAACTGAATTTTCTTCATAAGATGGATAATCATCATAAATGGGATAATCATCATCAGTCGGATAATCATCATAAACTGTGTTATGATCGTAGACATCAAAGTAAGGAATGTTGATTTGCATCTCGATATCTTGAAAAGTGGACTGAATTCCAGGTCGTACTTCCTAATTATGTCCCTGGTTTAGAATTCCCAATAGATTAACGTCCTCTTCGTCATTAGATATGTCCTCTAATTCAATTCCTTCTTCGGATTGAATGTCCAACTTTATCCACGCAAGTCGCCGCTCCAAATGTTGGATTTTCATGTTCTGCGCCTCCACAAGTTATCGCCTCAAAATTTGGATTTCCTCGGTATGGGCCCTCACGAGTTGTCGCTCCAAATCTTGAAATTTCCTGCTCTGCGCTAGCACAAGTAATCGCTCCAAAAATTGGATTTTCATGCTCTGCGCCTACACAAGTTGTCGCTTCAAATCCTGGATCCGCCTTCTGAGCTCTTTATTTTCTATGTCATGCGGGTTTATCTGACGCGGTTATTTGTCTTCCTTAGGAACGAATCCACGTCCCTTGCCTTCACGACTCCGCCATCGATGATCTCTATGATTCTGTTCAGCCATTAGTTGAAGGCAACTTAGTGCTCTAATACCAAATAATGCTGAAGTAGTAACTAATTGGCTAAACAGAAAGAAAAACGAACACAAGAAAGCGAGAAAATATTATTTCTCTTTTCTGAATTTTATTAACCAAATAACAATAAGGTTCTCCAAGCCTTAAATAGGCAAAACAAAAACAAAAACAAAAACAAAAGAATCAAGAAGGAATCATGCGCAATCAAAGAAGATAACGCACAATGAACGCACACTCAAACATAATCTTAAAATAACGAACAAGAAAATAACTAGCAATTATTTAAAATCCCTAAACTATGAAATAAATTATGGAAAAGTTCAATCCAAGTCAGTCAGCTCGGGTGCATCAGATGCAACAAAAGGGTTATATAAAAGCGAGGAAAAATTTTTTGAAGATGAGAACAAGTTTAGTTAGAATTGAAAACTGTTTTGTTTACCATTCTGTCAGTCCTTCTTGTAGAACATCATTAAGAAGAAAATTCCACCTTTACAAATTACCTCAACGGATGAGTTATCAAGAAGAAGCTCATTCAGAACATCAAACTGAACATCCGAACCAGAATAGCATGTGCCAGAATGCGAACATTTAGACAGCGAGTCATTTCTGTGACAATAGAATAACAAAAGAGAGGAAAGCATGCTGAGAAGGAAGACTAGGAATTCATATATGCCTCAAAAAAAAGAAGCTAAAAACAACTAAAATTGCACCTAAACCCACCCCACGCCTTACTGTGTCAGTGCAGATGGCATGACCAGTGAGTCATACATGCTGCTATTGCAGCAATCATCATTTAATGAGGAACATTCTTAACTTCCCCATAATCCTCGGCATTCAGTTCCAAAGTTATGCCCATGTGCAAAGAAGCATTAGAGATTATGCAGATTTGTTTCAGGCATCAAACTTGCAGCCTTTTGCATTTTATCTTTAAGATTTGTCTTCAATAACCTCAGGATAGCTTGGAAGATGGGGCATGATGCAATGTAAAAATAGGTAAAGAACTGTAACACCTGTAGTGTGACCAAATAGTAAGGAAAAAATGTTAGAGAAATATAAGTTTTGGATTGAAATAATTTTTTACATATATTAAAAAGGCCTTTGTGAACAAGTGGTCACAAATTGGATCCTCACCGCCCCATTTTATTAATAAAAGTAATTAAATATTATGGACTTTCTCAGTACAGATAGGCTTAGGGTGATGCATCATCTATCTTTCAAGCCAAATAGGATCTCATGTACGAGTAGTGTGTTTGAGGAATATAAAACTACTGTTCTTTATTAAAAAAAAAAAAAGTCATCAACTTTCGTTCCAACATAAATATCAGCAAGAAATCACATGAGGGAAAAAAAAAGCAGAGAGGATGGGATATTTACTCTCAATGAAATTCAGAGCAAGGAAAAGCAATGATTATCATGCTTTCAAAAGTTTTACATGTGCAAGTGTGCAAAGTACAAGCTGAAGGGGTTTTCTTCAAGTACAAAGCTATGAATAAAGTTAGGGATAAATGGTGAGAAAAAAACTGGGTTATTTCCCTGCCCCATCTCGAGAAGTCAAAAGTGGTTTTTTACGCATGAATCTGATCTAGCAAAACACGAAGGAGTGCCGAGGTTGAAAAAGGTAGAGGGGGTTTTCTTGTATTTTCAAAAGTATGAATAGACACAGTAGAACAAAAAGAAATGCAACTCCAGAAACAAGGAAGAAAATAGAAAAGAAAAATAAAAAAGAACACTGAGCCTGATCCAAACCATTCAGAGTAATATCTCGAGTTCGAACTTTGAAGGCCTTCAACTCTGCGTCAATGGTGAATGGTGATTCTTCTAAGATGCGGCAAAGAGCAAGGTTGGACTTCCACAAGACAACCAATAATTTCACCGAAAATATTGAAGACTGCAATAATTTACCTTGATCCAATTTTTATGTTGGTATTAAAGCCATTTCTTTTTAGTGTTATACAAAAGTTTTTTTTTTTTTTTTTTGCCCTCAAATTAAGAATCATACTCTCCAAACATCCTGATATATTTTTTTTAATTAGGTGTTGCTTCGAAAATTTGCTATCCAAGGTCGTTATTTTATTCATAACTAGAATATACGGGTGAAAGTGGGTTAGGCCGGCCTATAGTAGCCTACGACTTAACCTATATCATGTTAGGCTCGACCCATTTCAATTTTCATATAGTCAAATAAAATAGGTCCGAGTTTTTAAAAATGCCTATTTAAAAAGCAAGTCATAGGCTTTTTTTTTACATATCAAGCCTCTAAGCCTACATGTTGGTCTATATCATATTATTTATTTTAAATAAAATAAAATAATATTATTCATAGTAGTACCAAATGATGATAATTCATTTGATTTATGTGAGCCGAGTAGGTAGTGGAAGGACTTAGATTCAACACCTAATTATAGTAATTGATATAAGATCTGTACCAATCTCTACAATAATAGTATAATTAATATTTAGTGTTGGAGGAAGAGTTATTGATGTTTATCGTTTTAGCTTGGCTGTAGATACAATCCAAACTTTAATATATAGTGGAGATTGGCTACATAGTAAGTATGACTTGAAGAAAAAACAAAAAGTATAAAAAAGTTTTTTTTATTCTTTTCTTTCTTTCTATTCTTTAATCTTGTTTTTCGTTTTTTACATTTACAATTGTTTGCCAACTTATGTAACATTGGAATTGTATTTGCAGGGGAGAAAAGATAGTGAGAAGTTTTTGGTTACTATAAGCATCATGATGCAATTGTTGGATTTATGCAGTTATTTTAATTTACATAGTATGGATTGATTTGTTGGATCTTATAAAATATATATTATTTAGTTTAGGTATCTTGCTTCTGAAAGTGACTTAAATGCAAATTGTGATAAGTTGTTGAGATTTATGGTTTTGTTTGAACGTTAAAATTGTGGTTCTTGTTTTAACAACAAAACTTGAGTATTTTGTGAAGTTGATTCATATTCTGCTTAGAAGTTAAAAATTAACAGACTAACTGTAAGAACCCGTACCGTTAATTAAGGAAATTAATCAGTTAATTATGAGTTTAATGAGATAATTCTATAATTGACCCTAACAATTATTACGAGGCTCTAATAATTATAGTAAGTGGGTAATAATGCTGAAAGTCGCTTTTCTGACGAAAAGTGCAGATACAGGTTCTGCTAGTCGATATAAATGTGTACCAAAAAAGTATCCCGGAAAATTATAATAAGTGCATGATAATTACTAGAATAACATGTAGGACTTGTAAAACGAGTTTCAAGTTAAAATAACGAGAACTGGTGCCAGAAACTGGTACTGGCTATGAAAAGCGCGTACCGAAAAGGTACTCCGAAAAATATAAGAAAAATATGATAATTCTTGTAAAATTGAGTAGGTTAAGAATCCTGAATTTAGAATTAAAATGCTAAGCGTAGCAATTAATGTTATATCTGTGTGTTTAATGTTTAAGTGGGCCTATATAATCTTTTGGCACAAAGCCCTAGGTCAGAATTACATTTGTGCTACGTGATTTTTCTGGTTCCTTTCAGCTACCACCGTCCCTTCTCCACTCCATAGCTTCTCCTTCACTTATTTCACCAAAGTGATCACCTTTGGTCATGGTTCCTTTACCAAAATGGTTGAGTATTGTGAGGACAAGCCTTGTGTGAGTTAAAGATCATAATTTGCTGAGTTTAACTTCTGGTTTTTGGGTGTTCGTGGGCTGAGTTGGTGAATGTTCTTTGGGAAAGTCATGGTTATGGCATTTGGTGCTTAAAAGAGCCATATTTGAAGAGAAAGGTCCAACCTTGTGTTGTATTTTCGTGCTCTTGCAAAGTCAGAATCTTTGAGCCTTGTTGGAGAGCTCCAAGAGCCTTCTTTTTGCTGAGTTTGAACCTCCATTGGTATACCTTGAACTTTCCTTTGAATTTCCTTGATAATGGCTTGTTTTTTGTTATGAAATGAGTTAACTTTAATCATTCAAGCTTAAGGTTGTTAATCTAAGTCTAAAATGTGGTATTGAACTTCTATTTTGGGTCAAACCGGACCTTGGGTCATGGGGTGGCAATTTGGCTTCGGATTATGCAGAAAAAATCTGCATAATGTTGTTCTGCTCGTGTGGTAATCGATTACTTTTGATTGGTAATCGGTTACCATGTGTGGTAATCGATTATCTTGCTGGTGGTAATCGATTACCAGCCCTTGGTAGTCGATTACCACATGTGAAAATGACCAGAAATCATTTTATTGTGCGTGGGACAGTTCCCATGTGGGCTTGATGGCCTAGGAAGTTGGTGTTACTGTTGGGAAACGGTGATACTTATAATTAAGGGACTTAGTGCTTGATAATTATGATCTAGAAAAGACGTAATCGAATAAGGAAATGTTGTCATAATGAAACGAACCTTTAAAGTATGGTTATTGATGATATTTCTCATATAAACAGATTGTGATTGTACTGTTTGTGGGTCCTGAGCTTGTACGGACTCTTGGCTTGGATAGTTAGCTTGCAAGGTAAGCTTTCGTGTCCTCGGTTTAGCCATGTTGTGGTTCCACCATGTCCCATGGGGGTATGGTTATATGCATGTTGTGTTACATGATTTGAATATTTGAAATGTTGTTGAGCTTTATATGTAATGGCTTTTAATATGCATGTGTTGTTCCATCTTGACGGTAAGCCTGAGTATGTGGTGTCATACAAGACGGTGATCCGGGGTGGATGCAAGTGGCGTCTTGCACTATGTGTGGGTATTAGACGTATATAAATCCCGCATTTCTCTGGCCAGTAGAATAGAATTGACACACATGACATGATTATCTACTGCATTGCACTATTTTAGAACTGATGATGATAAACTGCTTTTGAACTTATATTGCACATGTAAGTGAGATTGGGGTGGAAGATCCTTGAGGACCCCTTGCCTTACTGAGATTTCTTGTTTAGAGATTTCACCCCACGTTTGGGAAATGCTTATTTCAGGTTCAGGTAGTATGGGGACTGATGTCTCTGGTGGCAGGAGGCCAGAGCTTAGTTGATATTTTGTGTTGTTCATATTATGCTAGCATGATTGGATTGGATGTTGTTTATGTTTTTCGCCCTTATCTTTATGTTGCTGTAGAGTTGAGACTTATGTTGGGCTTTGTTGCCTTATCTGGGGTGAGCATGGGAGTTGTCCATGCCACCATGTTGTTAGTACTTTTGAGTTGATTTTTATAAACTGCTAGTTGATCCGGTCTACGTGTTGTAGCTCCGTGACTAGAGACATACTTATGTTATTTTAATTAACGAGGTATTTCAGTTAGATGTCTTTTGCAATTTACATACAAGCATGATTTTATTTAATTGATTAATTAATCAAGTTGGTAATGGTAATGACGTCATAATTGAAAAGAAAAAGATATTCCGCATTTTTAATTAAGCGCAGCTTAATACGATAGTATGATAACATTACCGGATATATACGGGGTGCTACACTAACGGGTCGGGTCAGACCATTTTTTTTTATATATAAATGGGCCAAACCAGGCTACAATTAGACTCGTACTATGTTATCGGGCCAGATCAAATTAAAATTTGTTGACATAGGCTTGGATTTTTCGGGACAAATCTCGGCTCAGCCCAGTCTACTTTCACCTCTCCTAGCATGAATGTTTTAAATATATAAAATTTAAATAAAAAATATTCAAAATTATAAGAGATGTATTAATAATTAATTTAGATGAAATATAAAAAATGAATTTTACTCCTCTAAATGCGAACTTTAAAAACAAAAATGCAAACTTATTATCACTGATTGAAAGAAGTGAATTTATACATGCGTGTCTTTTTCTTTTTTGGTATGCTAGAATAAAAACCAGCAGAGAAAACTACAAAATAGTCATTGTACGGACTCTACAAACAGAAGCTAAATCAGCAATAAAAACAGACTGAATATTAAAAGGAGGATAACAGAATATAGACATATCTGGGGCACTAGGATTATCAAAAGCATAGTTTTTCAGTCAGCACAATAGTTGCCTTCTCTGTATGCGTGGACTAAACGGACTCGCCAGTCTTTTTGTAACCAAGCCTGTATCCGAACCACCAAATGAGGTTTATGGGCTGCAACACCCTTTCTAGAGAGAATGGTGATTGCAAATGTTGAATCAGATTCAACAATAAGATTTTTCCAACCTTCTTCCCAAGCCATCTCCAATCCTTTGAGAATACCCTACAGTTCAGCATTGAGAGAATTACAAATACACACCCTGTAAGAGAATCCTTTAAGCCAATGACCCATATGATTTCTAGCAATACCACCACAAGCTGCCAATGACCCATATGATTTCTAGTTATGTCTAATTTATATTTTCAAGTCACATATAATTTTTAAAAAATTAAATATAAATAAAAGTGTAATTTTACTTTGATTTTAAGTACATATATTCAATTCATTTGTTTTACTTTCCAAAGAATTGACTAGTATTACTCCACAATTTGATATCATGACTAATTTTGTTGATTGTAAGTTTAATAATAACATTGGTTAAAAAAAAAACTTCTTCCATTTGTTTTGGAGAAAAATTAAAATAATCAATAAATATTTTTAATTTTTAAAAAACATCAATAGTACAAAAATTAAAATAAGAAATAGAAATTTAATTATAAAAGAAGAAGGGCGAAATTTTAATTTAAATATAAAAAAATGTTGGCAGGCTCATTGTTGTTAAAATCTCGATTTATCACTATGATTTTACGTTTTTACGATTTTTTTCATCAAAACAATTTTACTAATATTCCAAACCCTTTCACGTTTTTATGATTTTTACTATTTTTTTACATTACGATTTGTTAATCCTCTTTCGATCTTACTTAAGATATCGATTTTAACAACATTGGGCAAGCCGATCCTCCGGACTG